AACTAGGAAAAAAAATCATCCTGAGTAAGGTAATACAGATGCAGAAAGACAAACATGGTATGCACTCATTTATAATGAATACTAGCTGTAAGGTAAATGATAACATGGTAAAAATGCACAGGCCCATAGAGGCTATTTAATAAGGAGACTCCATGGAGGGGATTCACGGATTTTCATGGGAAGGGGAAGTGGAAGAGATCTTGTGGGTGGACTGGTGGTAGGAGGGGATGGGAACATGATGGATAAGGTGGGTGTGAGGTAGGTGGAGAGTACCAAAAGAGTCAACAGGAAAGGGGGTTATTTTAGGGCCAGGTAGAAACATGGTGCTGAGGAAATGCTCAGGAATCTACAAAATAATCCAAACTACGACTACTAGCAAAAGGGGATACTTAGCCTGAATTGGCCACCTCCTGTGACCAGGCAAGACTACCAGTAAACAGATTGGGACACCCATCCAGCCACATAACTTTTGACCTACAATCTGTGCTGCCAATGGGATGTGGTAGAGTAAGGGATGATAGAGATTGTTGGAGGGGCCAATCAATGACTAGTCTAGCCTGAGACCCAAGCCACAAGAATGAGCCTACCCCTGACTCTGCCTGGAGCACCAGGACCGAGAGGCTAAATAGCCAAGATACTTAGGATAGAATCAAACACAAATGGAGAAAAAAAAGTCAATGTAATGATGCTTAAGTATATTCTGCTATACTCATACATTGGTGCCTAGCCCAACAGTCCTTCATCCAGCAACTAGTGGAAACAGATGCAGACACCCACTTTCTACTATTAGGGCAAGCTTGGGGAATCCTGCTGAAGAGAGAAAGGAATTATTGTAATAGCCAGAGGGGTCAAGGACATCACAAGAAAACACACAGAATCAATTAGCCTATGCTCATAGGAGCTCACAGAGACTGAACCAACAACCAGGGGGCCTACATGGACTATCTAGACCCTCTGCATATTTGTGACAGTTGTATAGCTACGTCTTCTCGTGGAACTCTTAACATTATGAGCAGAGGCTGTTTCTGACTTTTGCTGACTTTTGCGACCCTGTTTCTCATACTGGGCTACCTTTCCCAGCCTTGATGCAAGGCAAGGTGTTTAGTTTTACTACAGCTCAAGATGCCATGTTTTGTCAACATCCATGGGAAGTATGCCCTTTTCTGAATAGAAATTGGCGAGGCAAGGAAGGGGCGGCAGATGATGGGGGAGCATGGGGGAAAAGAGGGAGGGGAAACTGTGCTTGGGGTGTAAAATAAATAATAAAAAATAAAACATAGATTGTGTTACCTATAAGGTCTTCCACTATACAATGATGTAGTACAAGATTTATCTTCTTAAAATAAAAAATAAAATAGTGAATCACAGAAGAAACATCCCTTAGCAATCCAATTCCTCATTTTATTGAGTCCATAAAAGAAAGTTTAAAATCATAACTTGTCCCTTGTGGGTTGCCCCTCCATCACTGCCCTCTGTCATTCTTTACAATGTTATTTCCTTCTGATCTTTATTATCATTTTGCTTTTAGTAAAGTTCCTTGCTGCTTGGCAAATCATGTTAGTATGTGTTTAATCATATACTTAAAATTCAGCAAACACTATCCAGACATTGACCATCAGTAACAAAATGTTTCTGGAATGTTTCAGCTGACTTATGGAAGCATTCTTCTTCTATTAAGAGTGTTCTGAAGGATGATCATTCCAGATTCTGGGGTCTGTCATGTGAGCAGGCAGAACTGTGTTGTAAGATTCATAGAACTTAGAGAAGCAGTTATGATAGGAATATGTGAGCAGCAATACAAGGAAAGAGGAAAGCTGGTATACCACACACAGTCTTAATCCAGCCTTAAGGCTGGTGCATGCTATTCTCAATTGATTCATGGGAGGGGGATTTTGAAGAAATTGACTCATGGTAGGAGTTTTTCTAACACATAGGATTGAAGACCAGGATGCAAGAAAATCAGCATGATCAAAGACACCACTTTCTGTCCTCCAATTGATAAAAGATGGAATACTCCAGAATCTCCCAGGTCTTTGACAAGGGTTTGGAAGTCCAGACTGGTGCTACTTCCCTTGAAAATGAAGAAAACTAGCACATACAAAGCAAAGACATAGATGTGAGATAATTCACAATCAAGTGTTTCTTCAAATATGAGATTCCAATATATTATTAAAGATACCTGTACTCACTTGTTAGAGACTGAGGCTTTGTCTTTGGATATATAGAGAAGCTGTTACCATGGTCTAGATTGGTTGCCAGTCACTGAATAAAAGCTAAGAATGCTACATTTATAGTGAATAGCATGGTCATGTAATGAGAGGCAGTGTTTTTGGTTAAGGTAATTAGCCAGGTAGTACTTGTTGATGATTTGTGTTCATCAATAGTGGGAGATAGTAGCACAATGCTTCAAAACAGTCTAAGATTAGATTTACTAGCATGGGGAAAATGTGTTCCATTTAGTCTCTGGTTATGAAAGGCATACTTTCAAATGATAGTGGAACTGTGAGTGACACATTTTGAGAGTGCATGACACTACCTCTGTTCAAGCAGTACCTTTCTTTAACTTTTTCTGGAATGATCAGTACTAAAACTTTCAAACTGTATTTTGAGTTCACTAGAATGGTACAGATGAACTGTCTTCTTTATTTCAGGAAGATAAACTATTTTAAATTTAAGAGTATATTGCACTTAGAACACAAAGCTTTTCCTACTCAGAATTTTGATAGAGTCAGTTAACAATTTAGTAGCCTTCTGGTCTATTGTACTTCCACTGAAGATAATATTCTTCTTTATTTATTGTTAACAATTAAGTATTGTGTCAAATAGTGCTATTTCCTCTACAAACTTAGAAAATAATCTCAAAAATGTCTTTAGTAGTATAGGATCTTTATAGAAGAAATGCCTCCTCAGGAGAAAAATATGGATTGTCTTGGTCTAGCTTGGGACATTTGGGGCAAAAGCCTGTGCTGAATTACTGAGATAAACAATTCTGTAGTTGTACCTAGATCTGATGATCTTCTGATGTTTGGCATGTGTCCAAAGCAAAATTCAATGCTACAACGACATATTAATTGGCGGTCACACAATGGGTTAAGAGTCGGTCCCAGATAGGACATGGCATGCATGTGATGGCTCCTGCTCAGCTCCCAAGGACTACAGTGGGAATTTAAGTGTGACACTGTGATCAGTCTTGCCTGGTACACTGGGGAAGTCCTTGCTCACTCTGCTTAATTTTTAAAATTTTTATGTATCCAATCCCAGGTGACAGATGTGACATCCAGACGACCCAGTCCCATCCTCTGTGTCTGCATCTCTGGAACACAGAGTCACCATCACTTGCTAGGCAAGCCAGAATATTAGCACTTATTGGAACTATCCTAGCCAAAACTTGGTGAAATGGTTAAACTTCTGATCTATTATAGTTCAGCATGTAGTTGGGAGACTGAGACACACAAGCAGACAGGCTGTCCCTTAATAAGTATGATGTCTCCAGTTACTGCTCAAGATTTAGTAGTGAAAATATGGTTTGTAATACATAGGAGAGATATGTATTGAGTAGCAGTGTTTTCTGTTGTAGTATTCAAGTCTGTCATTACTAGTCAGTCTTTCATGCTGAGGAATTTTGGGAACAGTATCAAATGAGAGAAAAGTGGCTAAATATGGAGGATCCTAAACTGAGAAAAGAGTGCATCTCATATAATTTTGTGGGTGTGAAAGTACCTCCATCTTCAGATGAAGTCAGAAGTCCAAGTAACACATGTTGTTGGGGGCAAAGTGCTGTGGGATGTCTTTCTGTACACTGTGAATATGTGTTGCTCTGATTGGTTGGTAAACAAAGCTGCATTGGCCTATGGCAGGGCAGGATGGAGCCAGGTAGGAAAATCCAAGAGAGATAGTGAAAGGATAAAGAAGAGTAAGGGAGATGCCAAACCGCCATCCAAGGAACAACATGTAATGGGACACATGCAAAGCAGCAGAACACGTGGTGATACATAGATTAATAGTTATGGGTTACGTTGTAAGAGCTAGCCAACAAGGAGCCTGCCATAGGCCATAAGTTGATAATTAATATAAGCCTCTGAATGATTATTTTCTAAGCAACTGCAGAACCTCAGCGCCAGGCATGACAACACAGGAAAACTTCCAGCTATAGTCAGTGTTATATGTGCACATGCTGTGTATGTCTCTCTTTGTGCTATAGTAAGCATGGCTAAGTGTGCTAAATTTTACCTTTTAACTTATTAAAATGGTTTTTGTAAATTATTCTTTTAATTTAAAAAATGGCGCACGCCTTTAATCCCAGCACTTGGGAGGCAGAGGCAGGCGAATCTCTGTGAGTTCGAGGCCAGCCTGGACTACCAAGTGAGTTCCAGGAAAGGCTCAAAGTTACACAGAGAAACCTTGTTTTGAAAAAAACAAAACAAAAAAAAGATTACCCCAAACACACAAAGACTTCTCAAGGAGAGTACATTTTTTTTTTTTTTGGTTTGGTTTTTTAGATGGTGTTTCACTACATAGCTCTGGCTATTCTGGAACTCACTCCAGAGTAGGCTGGCCTTGATCTTGGAGATCTATTTGCCTTTGCCTCTCAAGTGCTGAGAATAAAGTCATAAAAATTATTTGAAGTAGTTGAAGATTTAATAATCCCTTCTCTGTTGAATATTCCCTGACAGTCAGATATTTGTTTATATTACCACTAATACATTTTAAAAATATATTATTTAAAATAGAGCTTAGGTATAGTACAAAGCTTCAAATAACCTCCAAAATATCATCTATAATTTTAAAACTTTAAAAAAGAAGTGCAGCCTTTGATGTGATCTGATCTTCAGCATTTGGGGACACAGGACTTGTGCTCAGTTACTGAGATGAGCAAGCCTTGCAGCTGTGCCCATCCTAACTGGTTCCCAGTGATTTGCATGCACTCACTGCACAGCCTTGAGGACTTCTTCATATACCAGTCACACCCTGTACAGTTGTCAGTGCAGTCAGGACTCAGCATGGACATGATGGCCCCTGCTCAGCTGCTTGGGCTTCTGCTGCTCTGTCTTCCAGGTAAAAAATGACTAAAATGGGAATTTCACTGTTACACTCTGATTAGTGTTGACTGGCATTTGGGGGTAGTCTTTTCTTATTATGCTTAACTATGTGGATATTTATTATATCTCCACTCCTAGGTGCCAGATGTGACATCCAGATGACCCAGTCTCCAACTTCCCTGTCTGCATCTCTGGGTGACAGAGTCACCATCACTTGCAGGGCCAGTCAGGGCATTAGCAATTATTTAAGCTGGTACCAGCAAAAACCAGGAAAATCTCCTAAGCGCCTGATTTACGGTGCATCCAACTTGGCAGACAGTGTCCCATCAAGGTTCAGTGGCAGTGGGTCTGGGACAGATTATTCTCTCAGCATCAGCAGCCTGGGTTCTGAAGACAGTGCAACCTATTACTGTCTACAGTCTGTTCAGTATCCTCCCACGGTGATACAAGCCATAACATAAACCTCAGTGGAAGCAGAAGTGAGAGGCTGGCTGCCCCAACTGTTACTCCTCATGAGTCGCTCACTGTAACCATTTTTTCATATGTCATAGGATTTTTAGCAAAGCTCACAGAGAGACATTAGGTTTTGTAAAGCAAATATGTTGTAGTTTTGCAGAATAAAGAGAGTTTAACTATCCTCTCTTTGCCATAACTATCTTTCTTTCCATTCATCTCCTGTACTACAGCGTACCAAAGTATTTTCTACATTAACCGAGGACACAGTCATTCCCTGTGAGGAGTCTGAGTTGCATCACTAATTGGAACCCATACATAACAATGGAAGCTCCTGTGAACATTCCAGCACACATTATTTAAATATATAAAATAATTTTCTAAGTGCCAGTGTTTAAAAGGTAGGGAAACCCAGATGTAGTAGCAAGAATTTCCACCTAAAACCTGAGAGAGCTTAAGCCGAGATTGTAAGTGTAGCTAAGAGCACCTTCCTAGTTCATGTCACTCATGGCAGGCCAAGTTACAGTGAAGTGTCCCCTGGTTGTGGACGGTTCTTTAGTGTGCTGGCTGAAGCTACATGGCAGATTCCTGCCAAGTTACACAGAGGTTTCTCCAAGCCCTGCAACACACTGTGTGGCAAATTTAGCGTTTGCTACTATAGACAAAAAAAAAAAAAAAAAAAAAAAAAAAAGAGGTTTCTGGTCTACCTGCTGCTGGATAGAGGCATGAACCCACAGCCTCCCAGAGTAAGCAGAGAGTATGGGTCCCAGAGCTGGAGATGAATTACCCTGGCCATATTGGGAAGCTGAAATGGGTGGATTCAGCAGCCAAGGCTACAGCTTCTGTTCTAGCCACACTTCAGTTTAGATAATAGATTCACAAAAAGACAGATTCAGATGAAATAAACCTCTAAATGGTTTACATTTTATGTAAAAATGTAAGTAGGCTTGGAATATAGAAGAAAATGAATATAAACAGTTCTATAAAACAGTTTTAAAAAATAAAGTCTTTAAAGAGACAGTAAAAATAATATAAAAAATAAGCCATGTAAAGATGGAAATCACACAGAGAGTCTGGATTATATTGTCTTTGGAATTTTTAACTGCAGAAAGACATTTGATTGTAAAAGCTGGTGAGTTAAGTGAATATGTATATTTTAAAGATATCGGGACTTCAAAGTTTATGTCTAAGGATATGTTACTTTGGAAAAGAGGTTCTGTTTTTGTTTCCACAGAAGATGAAAACCTGTGGATTGCTTCCAGGCTAATATGGTTTGATCAAGGAAGACCTCCTGAGAGGCCCAGATGATCCAACATCCAAATAGCTTCAAGGCAACTGGCTCAAAAAATACAACATCATGGACCATTCCAGTCAGGACTTGACCATAATTCTTAATTTTCTCAGGATCCCCATTAGATTGCTAGCGCCCTTATCCAACAGGAAATAGTATGAAAAACTATGCCCAAATTCCTAATGTATTGTTTATAAATGTTTATTTTTATTTAAAGCAGGTTGATTATAAATGCAATCTCTTTCTAAAGAAGAAAAGGGGATAGTATAGATATGATAGGATGAAAGGGTAGATTATTGAATCTACTTTTAAAGAGCAACAACTTGTTTGAAATGTTTTACGTTGCTATGGGTTTTAGTTTATTGATACAAATTTAGAGTTGATTTTACTATACTACATATATTTCTACTCTCATTTAAGGTATTATATTTATGTAACTCATTTAAATTGTAGTGGATAATTAAGAAATCCAGATTAATAATTAGTCTTCTCTGATAGTCAAACTTATAGTCATGTTAAGTTTTCTAGGTACATATAGATATATTTCAATTAGATAGTTGATCTTCAAACACTTCAAAGACCTACAGAATATGGCATTGAAAATGTTTTAAAAACTTAGACTTTTCTGGACAATGAGACACGTCTGCTCCTGGAAGTACCAATTACTTCAAGGAAGATGATGGGCACTAAAGGCACTCCATATGGAGTTTATCTACTTCTGGCAAAAATAGCCATTTGGGCAAGAAACTGCTCTTGCTTGGACTGCTGATAATATTTTATATAAACTGGACATGCACAACCTATGGAAGATGATCACTGAACTTTGAAAAGCAAAATGATTCTTCATGTTCTTGCTTTGCAGAGGAGACTGCCAAATATTCTACATGACACAAGCAGAAATGACTAAAAAACTCTCGGCCTATAGGCTGAAGATGGATGCCCTAATGTTGCAGAGGAATTTTGGATGACTGTCCAGGCAGGCAACTGTCTCTGTCATTTCCAGAATTTTGAAAGTTGCTTACAATGCTCTTCCTGTTTACTTAGGTAATACTGTATCCTTCTGAGGTCTTTGATGTAGTTGAAGACTAGATAGTTATAATTTTTCTTGGTTATGATAAAAGATAAATTAGATATGGAACTTTAGACTCACAAATATAGGATAGATAGAATATTTTCTTTAATTTTCCAAATACAAATAGACTCGATTGTATCTATAATTCTTGCTTGATGACTGTTCTATTATATGTAATTTTATTATGTTAAAGTTAAAATCTTCCTTTTTGATTAGACAGAAAAGGGGAAGTGCTTGGAATGTCGTTCTGTATGCTGTGAATGTTTGTTGCTCTGATTGGTTGATAAATAAAGCTGTTTGGCCAATGGTGGACAGAATAAGGTTAGGTGGGACATTCCAACTAGAGAGAGAGGAAGGAGAAAGGCAGAATTAAGGAAATGCTCCTAACTGCTGCCAGTGGCAGCAAGATGTAAAGTACGGGTCAGCCATAGGCCAAGTGGCAAAGTATGGATTTATAGAAATGGGTTAATTTAAGATTTAAGAGCTAGCTAGCTAGAAGCCTGAGCCATTAGGCCATATAGTGTGAAAGTAATATAAGCCTCTGTGTGTCTATTTGGGTCTGAGTGGTAGCAGGCACAGGCAGGACTACAGAAAACTTACAACTACAGAAGTTGACAGCAGAAAGTTGTTCTGGATTTTCAAAAAAAGCTAGAGCCCATGTGTCAGAGAAAGAGGTTGCCTAGCCATGATTCTTTGCTGTGTCTTGAAATCCCCTTAATGGGCTATTGATTCTCTTAGCTCTCTATAGCACTTCACTTAGATTTCTAATGGTTCCTGTGTCCACTGGTCTGCTAACAAGTATCAAACAGTATTGAAAAACATTCATATGACTTTTAATCACACTGAGTGAAGTGGAATATAGACTTGTTTATATGAAATCACAGGGAGAAAATGGTTGTCTTAAATAGGATCCCAGAAGTAGTATTAATGAAGAACATGTATCCCATAGCAAAGCTTCATAAACTACAGAGATCTGTACTCCATTGTCTTTTTTTTTTTTTTTTTAGATATCATGTGTGGGTAAGCTCTATTTCCTGTCTCTTTATGGTGTTCCATCCATCTACTTGTCTATCTGTGCACCAACAGTACACACAGACTTAATTACTGTAGGTTAATACAAGAGAGAATAATAAGTTAGAAAATATAATACCACTTTTCTAGCCTTCTGATTTTCTTTGCTATGATGTGCCTTGACTTTCCACATGAATTGTAGGAAAACTCAGTTTAACTGTTTCAAGAATTATTTAAGGAATTTGAGTTGTATTACAATGACTGTATGTGCAAATTGGAGAAGAAATACATTTAAAAGTGGTTCATGGAGCTGGAGAGAATGCCCAGTGGTAAAGAGCAGCTGATTCTCTTTAAGATGACCTGGGTTTAATTCTCAGCATCCACACAATGACCCCCAACTATCTTTAATTTTAGTTCCACAGGATTCTGCATCCTATCCTGGCCTTTGAGGGCACTGGACATACACACATTTTGCTTACAAACATGCAGTTAAAACACTCATTAATATAAAAATATTTTTTTAATTCTCTTTTCATGTGTATGCCCATAAGAGCAAGAGGATTATAGTATGATCATTTACTCATTACAATGTTTCATCTCAGTGAATGCTTACTATCTTAATTCCTTAGTTTTTTTTCAAAGCTAGAACTATGTGGTAGCCATCATGATAGCTATGATGCTTATAATAGAAAAAAATAAACCTTGAGAAAACACAGCTAATTTTTAAGCTAGGAAACCTCAGATTCTGGGATTTCTTGTGTGCACATGTGAATAGATAGACAAGAGAGAAAGACATATAGATAGACAAAGAGACAGATAGACAGATAATCTCTATCTGGCCATTCAACTATCCATCCATAATGCAAAACAGACTGTTAATTCATAGATAAATAACCTAAGATATTCTATTCTATTTTGCTGTATATTATTATCTTAATAAATTTCATGTCATATAAGTACCTTTTTATGACTCCTGAAATTCATTAAGGATATTAATGAGACTTCAGGGGATAATAGATGTCTAGATATTTTTGATCTGTGACTCCATGGATAATCAAGGACAGTTAAATTGAAGAGAAAAGGGGAGAAATACCATTAGACTTCTTAGAAAAGGAGATAAGAAGGGCCAGAGCAATGCCTCCACAGTTAAGAGCACTGGCTGCTCTTGCAGAAGACCTGGGTTTACTTTCCAGAATGCACCTCATGCTCCACAACCTTTTGTAACTCCAGTTCCAGAGAGTTAATGACTTCTGACTACCTTGGGTACAGGTATGCTCACTGTCATATGTAAATGCAAGCAAAAATGCTCTTATGTGTAAATGAAAACAAAGCATCTTTAAAAGCAAAGAAAGCTGAATAGCAAGAAGTTGAAAGAATACAGAGTAGAAAGTGGGAAAAAATCTGTAACTCAAATGAGAACAAGAACTCTGTTTGTGGGATTCGGTGCTGGGAACATCACAGGCTAGAACAAGCAGCCCTGGTGGGATAGACTGTCATAACTACACACAGAAAAACCTCACAGCACTTTTAATCTTTAGTACCACTGATGACATTTAATGTTTTAGGAATTCTTCTGGAATGCAGGCTGGGTCTTGAGGAGAAGTCTATTCTATCATTCTCTGCAGATTGAGCTA